AGTAAGCGCAACGATAGCAAAAAAAGTTATAAGTGGAAAAACTCCGATGACAAGATAACGTAAGCGTTTTTTACTACAGTTCTCAGTTTTTCTTCTCAACTTGAACCGTTGGCATCTGTTTTGTGCAGTTTCTACTATTGTTGTTGTTGTTTTGACTGTTGCATACAAATAACTCGTCTCTCAATAACCATTTTTCAAAAACCACATTGTCGCATTAATTTATAAATGACAAAACTGTTCCATCTAATTCAACACCTTTTGCATTAAACGCTGATGATTTATCCCTTCTCACTGAATTTCTTTTTCGTATTATCGCTGCTGCTGTCGCCGTTGTTGAATCTAATTTACATGTTTATTTTTATCGGTTACTGAGAAAGTCCAACGACTGTTGTGAAATGACAGGTGAAAATGTCATCTGAAAGAAATAAACGAGCTTACCACCGCCATTCTACTACCAACACTACCATCACTATCTTGACGAACAACAACGATGACAATTTTATAAACGGATCATCAATCCATCGCGAAAAACAATGAATATGTACAGCTGGTTGCAATGAAAAATTTTTTGCTTCCTATAATAAAACTCAGATACACCAAATATAAATTTTCTTTTGCCATATATAATAGGGTCAATATTTCTTTCTGCTGCCTTCCTTATGGCCATAAGTAGATGGACTATGACAAAAAAGCTTTTTTGCTTTAATCACTTGCAAAAATTTACAGAGTATGCACTGTTTATTAACTAACTTAAGGCATATAAAATTATAACTACTTTTTAAATATTATTCATATTTTATGTTGACGTTTATCAATGAAAAGATAGTCTTACTAAAGTTTCAGAAGATAGCTTGAGCAAAAAAGAATCCGAAAAACAGAAAACCGATAACTTTATAAAGCCAAATGATCAACAACAGTTTTATTGTTGGTAATGCCGGGTTTTATTTTTGGTGGTCCGGTTAAAATTCATCTTCCTGTATAATTTACATCTGCCATTTATATGGTCTGTCTCATCAACGTTATTACAACCAGTCCTTTCTATATA